AAAAAACCGAAGTGGGGGTGGGTGATGGTGGGGGGAAGAAGAAGAAGAAGATGGGGTGGATGATTAGGGAGAGAAGAAGAAGAAGAAGAAGAAGAAGAAGAAGAAGAAGAAGAAGAAGAAAATGGGGTGGATGATTGGGGAGAGAAGAAGAAGAAGAAGAAGAAGAAGAAGAAAATGGGGTGGATGATTGGGGAGAGAAGAAGAAGAAGAAGAAGAAGAAGAAGAAGAAAAAGAAGAAAATGGAGTGGTTGATGAGTGCCCTGCAAATTTCTGAAAAAAAAGAAAGAAAGAAAAAAAACGAAGTGGGGGTGGGTGATGGTGGGAAGAAGAAGCAGAAGAAGAAGCAGCAGCAGAAGAAGAAGAAGAAGATGGAGTGGATGATGACCAGTGACCACCCTACGAATTTCTGAAGGAAAAAAAAAAACGAAGTGGGGTTGGGTGATGGTGGGAAGATGAAGAAGAAGAAGACGAAGACGAAGACGAAGAAGAAGAAGAAGAAGAAGAAGAAGAAGAAGAAAAAGAAGAAGAAGAAGAAGAAGCCTTTCTCTCACTGCTTCTGTCAAGCTGTCACACACATGTACACTCACCGGAGGAGGCCGAAAGTTGCAGCCTTTCTTGAATGGTGGAGCTCACTCTCTCTCTCTCTCTCTCTCTCTCTCTCTCTCTCTCTCTCTCTCTCTCTCTCTGCAAGTTTCTTGCTTGCACCTCATCCCCTCCACGCTGCACATGTCTCCCTCCCAGCACAGCAGCTGACACTCACTGCTGCCCACAATGCCACCACCATGAGAGCGTGAGAACAATCTGGGCAGCCACAGTCTTAAAAACCTCACCGATCGTGGGAACGTCGGCGCTGACAGGTCGGCGGCCTCCCAAGACGCGCGGCGAACGGACGACCACCCCCCAACCAGCCCAGACCCCAAAAACGGGGCCTTTGCAGGTCGGGCTGCCGCCGTGGAAAAATGCAGCACCCGACTGCAGCCGACATGTCAGCGCCGACCGACCGACCGGTCAGCGGGTCGGCGGCCGACGGATCGGCGCGTGCAACTCTGAATTACATTGTATTATTCTTTCTAATTCTTCCATCTTTCACAACCTGCTTACCATTGATTCACTCAGAGTTGTAATCGGACAGGCTTGCTGCTCAGGCGTGCCGTGTACCAGTAGGAACGCCGGTTCTGTCTTTTCTGTTGGACCCGGACACTGTCTGAAGGGTGGGTCTGCGCCAGCTGCGTATGCTGTTTTTGTACTCTTTGTCGTTTTTTGAACCCTGAGCCCGGGTCAGGTTGTGAGTTTTGTTCCGTTTTGGCCATACGGTAGCGGAAAAGAAAAACGTGAATTCGGGGTGCTGCCTTTTGGCAAATAGTTACCAACTTTTTGGTGGGGTTTCTAATCCCCCCCCCCCCTCTGGGGGATTATGGAACTCCCCATTTTGCATTCGGTGGTGTGGTATAAGTACGATGGTTGAGCTGTTATGAAACCTCTAACCTGAGCTCAGCACGAGGGCGCTGGTATGAGTGATGGTTTGGCTAGTGGATAAGCTGGTGGATCTTGGGTGTGGTTCTGGACCGTGTGGCAGTTTTAGTGCATTGTAATTCGATCATTCGATGACTTCTTCTTTTGTATTCACTTGAGTACGTATACACCTCGGGCGTATGTATTCTATTGAGTGCGATCTATATATATATTTTTTGTGTTAGCTACTGTATATTCTTCTCTCAAATCTTTCATCGTCTTTCAAATTCTTTCAATTCACCTTCACTACCTACCTACCACTACTCCTAAGGCTTAATATACAGGGGACCCCTGCAAACATAGCTTTGTTGTCTCCCTCCAGCCATCAGAGGGGATACATGTTGCCCCCCGCCCCAGCCATGGTGGTCAAGGATGGGTGCGATCTATGGTTGTCATCTCTCTATTTGTTTTTTTCTCTCGTCATAATTCCTCACTAAGGCTATACAGGGGACTCCTTAGTGAGTTGCATTCCGATCCTGAGTGGAATTGTAATGCAATTCACTAAGGGGTCCCCTATATAGCCTTAGTGAGTTGGATTGCCTTACTGAGTTGGAAAAAAAAAAAAAAAGAGTTGCATTCCAACTCACTAAGGCTATATAGGGGACCCTTTAGTGAGTTACATTCCACATTCCAATTCCACTCAGGACTGGAATGCAGCTTGCTAACGGGTCCCCTGTATAGCCTTATTAAGTTGCATTGCATTCCAATCCTGAGCGGAATCAATTGGATAAAACAACTCTGAATTACCTGGGGACGGTCAGCTCAATGAACGCTGTGGCCGTTATTGCATTTTACGTTTTCTAATGGGCATCACAGTGGTGGGCCCACTTTCCTCCCTCCCATCAGGACCCTCTGAAACACAC